CATTAAAGAATTTATGAGGTCTATGTTAGCTAACCTTAAATTGTTGGTTGCCCACCAACCGTTGAGAGACATTGTGGGAAGGGAGATTAGGTAATTTCGTAGTCCACTTTAGAGTAATAGTTAATAAGTGCTGAGGTATACGTATATGTGGTGAAGAGAAGGAGTTTGCTTATCTGTGTCTCTCTTTCACCATGGATGATTATCCCATGTTTGTTTTTTTTGCCCTTTGCATGATATAGAGACCGCTGCTCTGTTTTTTTTTTCCGTTTGGATTGTAATGAATTAGCACGATGCGTATTACCACGAACTTAGGCAGGACTGTCCAACGTTATACTACTCAGCAACAACCTAAAATTCACAAGAGGCTAGCAAAGAAAAGCAAGGAGAAGGAGGAGGAAAAAAAAAAGAAGGCGAATGATATCAAGCAAAAATTGGAGCAAGAAAAAAACGAATGAATGAGGACAAGGACCAAATAGAGTAAGAGACAGAAAGGAAATAATAAGAGTTACAAAAAAAGTTCGAAAGTTTAAGAGGAGGAGGAAGAAAAAGAAAAGGATCGACTATTAAGAGAAAGGAAGGAAGAGCAAAAAGAGGAGAAACCTAGGAAACTGCAGAGAGTAACCATGTAAGTTAATTGATGCTTCAAGAGGTGCAGGATGAAGATTAGGTAGAGAAACTCATATTTCGCAGTGAGATGTTGGAAAAAACTTAGGAGGAAAGAAGTAACTTTGAGTCAAAGTTGGCAGCAGTTGCTGATAAAGAGGAGAACACATTACCATTGAAGAACATGATAAGTGTCCTCCATCAACAATTGCTGACTCAAAAGAGAAGGAAATCGATGAACGAAAACTAATGAATGGGTAAGGAGAAAGACTCTAGTGAATGTTTAGGAAGCAAAAAGAAAAAGAGACAGAAGTTAAGGAAAGGTTGCCCATTCTAAATGACACTCTTCTACACACCACGAATCAGTTCGCTACACTCCAAAAATCCGTGAGAAAAATAGATCGGCACCAAAAGGAGTTCTAAAGTACTTGGAACAATTTGCTTTGTGCATCCTCTCATGGAATTGACCAAAAGATTATTGCTTAGGTCCACCAACTACAAAGTATCTTTAGACAAATTTAAAGTTGACAAACACCATAGCATCTTAAAAGTTGGGTGGTGCTGGTAGAGGAGGAGATAGTGATGGTGAGGATAATTTTGACGATGATAAGAAAGGTAAGGATCTGAGGAAAGACGCGAGAAATAAAAAAGAGGAAAAACAGTCTCTGAGAGAAGAGAGAAGAGTGAAAACGAAAGTAAACCTCCCTTAGACATACGATTGGAAAAAATAAGAATATGTTTTAGTGGGAATTAACAATAGACACCTACCTACACGTGCAATTGATTTTGTTATGGGAGGATGTCTTAATTGCTATTTTGTATCTCACTTGTGATGCAACCAACTTCGTTATACCCTTAAGGACGGAAGCAGAATGTACCTCAATAAAAGAATGTTTCCAATAAACCTGTATTGAGGATTTTATGAGATCCTCGAAAGACGGGTAAGAACCTGGTCTGGTGGGTCCGCCACACAAAACATTTGATCCTTAAATGCGTTGCCACTTGTACGCACCCTCGTACGAGTTCCGATTCGTACTCCTGTACTCGTACGCTACTCGTGCGATAGGAGCCTCATACAAACCTTTTTTTTTTTTTTTTAATCCGATATTGTATTTATTTTTCTTCTCAAAATATGATAAAAATTTGTAGATAATGCTTAGCTAAATGTTACTTGTTTTGTGTTGCTGCATAACATTTTTGTTTTTCAGATTTTTTTAATGATTTTTTTTTTTTTCGTACGGGGCGTACAAGATATACATGTTCCCGTACAGGTTCCCGTACAGATCCCGTATAAATATTTCTTGTACGTTTCTTATAGAAAGGCCCCGTACGTGTCCAATATGCAGCGTAAATCCTTAACAGTAGTAACCGAAATGAAAGAGTGTCAGAGAGTCTACATTTTAGGCTACGATGGATGAGTTACTGTAGTGTCCAGGTTATGGATTAAACCCAGCACAAATTTTGAATAATTTTGCCAGGACACTTCCCAATCCCACAAGGACCCAATTGTATCCCCATACAAAGGAGGAGGGGATGACATACGAAAAATTTAGTAAAATAGCAGTAGACTAGGCCGGTTTCACACAAGAGCAAAATTATTGTTATTATTGAAAGATCTGTAGAGAGGGAACCGGTGGACAAACTAATTAGTTTCAGGCAATATAGAGAGTAGAGATAATATTTTTATCATGTTTGAAGAAAAGAAACTTGAGTCACGTCCCTACGAACAGATAAAATATGGACTTGAGGATACAAACAACAACCAAGTAGTCTGGGGAGGTGACTATTCGACTGCTGCAACCCATGGGGGACGGCGACAAGGACGAGGCGACCGAGGAAGAGGACACCGAGGAAGAGTCAGAGGTCGTGGACCCGCTGCTCAAAGGGGTGGTGGTGA